AGTAGGAAGCTTAATCTATTTGTCAACATGTACAAGACCAGATTTAAGCTATGTAGTAAGTAAACTGGCACAGTACTTTGCAAACCCAACCACAGAGCAGTGGAATACTGTAAAGCATGTTTTAGGTATCTAAGAGGCACACAAGATAAAGAACTATGTTTTAAAAGGGGTGCCTGTGATAACCTTATTTATGCATACAGTGATGCTGATTGGGCAGGTGACGTATCCGATCGAAGGAGTACAACAGGTTACTGTATGAGTCTAAATAAAGATGGTCCGTTAGTCTCATGGAAGACCAAAAGACAGCCTACAGTAGCTCTATCTACATGTGAAGCAGAATACATGGCACTAGCTGCTACTATACAGGAATGCTTATACTTGAAACAACTGTTGTTCAACATGGATGGTCTGGATTATTTAGCTAAGATTTATGAGGACAATCAGGGTACCATATCCTTAGCCAAAAATCCTGTGAATAGACAAAGATGTAACATATTGATACTAAATATCATTTTGTCAGAACAGTTGTAAATGAAGGAAAAGTATTTCTAGAGTACTGTCCAACTAATGAAATGGTTGCAGATGTACTAACTAAACCAGCAACAAAGATTAAGTTGAGGAAGTATGAAATGTTTATGTTTGGCGAATCATGAATGTATTTTGGTTGAAATATTAAGAGTCAGAGGAAGCTACCCAATGTGAGCAAGTGGGGTTGTTGACATTATGAATGTTTTTGTGCTCTCATTTGTTGTTGTGTTTTTTTTTCTCATTATTGGATTATTGTGTGTCACATCACGTGACCTGTCTAATTGAACACACTTCTGTACAATAAAAGGGTGTGTCCTCCAAAACAAAGGGAGAACAACACGAAAGCCAAACCGGTGCGAGTTTCTTGATGTCACGCTGAACGCTGTGCCGAAAACTGATACTGCTAATCCCTCCCTTCCTTACTTCCTTAGTGTAATGCCCAGCACACATTATGTCGCGAATTGTTGACTCATTATCAAAACTCAGAGACACATTAGCCGACAGAAATCCTAGATATAAAGGTTTGATCGAACCGTGTTGTGTCCAACAATGGGCACAAAATAATAAGTCCAGTTCACTAACTTTGAAACCAGGCATTAATCAATTCCTCACTACAATCTATCTGCAATGCATGTGGCTTGTGTCAGTCCTGACTAAATGAAAATCATTATAACCTATTTATGTCACGTTAACGAAGAACAGCTGAAAAGTTACGGGTTTTCTGGTAGAAATTTAACTTCTCCCCTAGTTATTTATGTTTTTTTTTTGCACGAACTGTTGAATAAACATTCATGTTGTTTCCGATGTCCGCTGGACTTCGGGTTGCATCGTGTCAGCTGTTCGGGATTCCCTCCGTGTTTCCCCTCAGAAAGCACGAGGAGAATCCGCGCTTTCTGATTGGCTACCCGGTCACAGTCAACAGGCTGCGTCACTCTCCCAGTCTGGGTAAATCTTTGATTTAGATCGGAGCGGCCACAACGATCTTCCGTAACACACAAGTCACAATCTCTGAACGAATATCGTTCTAAGATTGTCATCGGGGTAAAAAATCCTGTATTTTAAACTATTGTATCAGGAAGTCGGATTCTTCTCTATTTAAATCTAATTATTACTGAAGGCCAATATACAATACTGACTTCATAATCTGCACTCTTTTGGTTGAATGCAGTGTTTATTTCCACTTTGGCTTTATGTTGTTTAGTTTTATTCAAGTACATTTATTGTTAATGGAGACTGAGAATCTATTTTATTTTTGGTTTTGGTTTTATTTATTTTGTGTATCAGTCCCAGTGTTAAGTGTCCTTTTGAAAGTAAAGTGTTTCTATCTTTGGCAGGAAACCGCATGTATTATTACGTAATTTCCATTAAATCAGTGTATAAAGGTCTTCAAACAATATTATCGTTTATTGCACAAATTTTTTGAGACAATTAATCGCCCAGCAAAATCTGTTATCGTGACAGGCCTAATTTCCAAACATATCCTATGTTGAGGTTCACGAAAGAATTGATTTTGTTAAAAATTGGAATGAAAGACTGGAGGGATTTCATGTCTATAGAGCTGAAAATTGTTGTATTTGTTAAATGGGATCATTTGGATCTTCACCTTTAGATACTTGGAGATGTGCAGCCATGACATTTTCCTTCCGAGATCTGTTGTAGTTTTTGGCATATTCTCTATCAAAAAAGAATTATGATAAACTGTATGTTATTGTATTAACATGCTGTTTATGTCAAACTGTATGTAGTGTGTGCAATGTGAAGAGCAGAGGGCTCAGATCAGAGCCCTGAGGAGAGCCAGTACTGATGCTGATAGATGAAGAGACATTGTGGTCCATTGTGACTAATTTCATGCATTATCAGTTTGACTCCCTTCCAGAACATTCCCACTTGATTGGACTTGAGGGATTGATTTGTATTATTCTGTACAATAGAGAAAGTTTGTGGGGATTATTATCATTATTATTTTTTAACTCGACAATAGAATGTATATGATGATTGAGTTTGTTAAAAAAAAAAAAATTAGCAGAAAAGTATTAGTGATAGTTTTGCCTTTAAAGTAAAATGAGATTGAAACTGATTTGAAAAGTCGGAAAACAACCGAATCTCTGACCGGCGGTTGCCCATCTTTGTCTCACTTTTCGAGTGCTAGGTGAATGATATTTCACCCTATTTGCTCAAATTATCCAGAATAAACAATGTGAATGTCGACTGTCATAAAGTCTCCAAGAAGAAGAATAGGAGGAAGAACAATGAGATGGCGGATGTTCTGTTTTGTTGAATGTTTGAGTTTCTCTAATAAATATCTCCAGTCCAGCTTTAACGAGTTGTCATGGAAAAATTACAGTAAGGTCACGTCTGCTAGTCATGTCATGTGAAATGTTTGTGAACTCTGACCAAAAGAATTGAATTTCTTGTAAAGAACTATTTGGGTTACTTGTACAAGGCTGGAAGGTTGTTTTCCACAGCTGCATAAGAACCAGACCGTCTTGCCCTTGTTTTTCCTTCCTTATCATTGTATAAAAACTTGCATGTTGTCTCTATAGTATGGTTGATTATTATTGTCTTCAATAATTTAGTGTTTTTTTTGTCTTAGTTGTATTTTTCTCTTTCTGCTGCAGCTTATTCTGTTACTAGGAAAAGATTTTAGGTTCTGCAAAGAGAACTGGCACTTTATGAGAAATCTGTAGCTGTAATGATCGTAGGATCCACAAGGTGGCGGTAATGCGATGACATGAATGAACGACAGTCTTAAAACCCCGAAGAAGAAGAAAAGTAGTAGAAGACAAAGAGGACGGCACATGGTCTGTTTTGTTGAATGTTTGAGTGTTTCTCTAATAAATATCTCCAGTCCAGCTTAAACCAGTGAATCAGCGAGCAGTGAACTGCAGAAACATTGACAGAGTTTAAAGAAATCATCGTCCAGTCGGAGGAAGAGATGGATGATCAGCGCAGACTGCTTGATTTCTCCCGGACTCCCCAGATCATCTTACACCGAATAGGTAGGAAACAGCAGCGTTTGGATGCAGGTTAAGGTCTAAATGTCTGCACCTTTCTGCATGAGGATCATTTTAGTAAACGCTCTTTTCCCGGATAAATGTTTTGTTAGCAGGTAAATGAACGCAGACATCACAATGAGAATGGCTGATTTATGGAGAGAAAATGGAGTTTCTCACAATCTGAGCTTTGTGCTGCGTCAGTGTTTCGTTGTGTAGTGGAAGTAGTGTCAGTAGTCAGTTAAAACGTTGTAGCTCTGGAAGAAGGGACTTTGTAACGGCAGCCCCAAAACAAATACACACATCATGTGCAAATAAAGTTTCCGAAACTGAAGAAGAGTCTGTTTCGTGAGTGCAACACTATTTGTGTGTTTGGTTTCCATCCATCCGTTTTCTAACTCGCTTATCGCGAGAGTTGCTGATGCATCTCCAGCAGTTGCATATTTAGGTTTATATTGTTCATATTTCATACTTTAGTTGCACTTTTAAAACTGGATTTTCTTTCATTGTACATGTGTAAATCCAAAGTAATTCAAAGTTTTTATATCTTGTTATTAGAGGATGATCAGGGTCTCTGCTCCAAACTCTTTATTTCTAACGGGTCGATTTGTCTAATTTTAGATATTTTTTACATGTAGCGTTTTTTTGGGGCTTCTGGGAGAAGCTTTTCACAATATAGCCCACTTTGTTTCAAACTGCTTTTCAGCATTATGGAAGAGGAAGATACAGTGGAAACGTGATAAAACCATCAAAAAATGTTTGTTTTGGTATGTTGCCATACAAGATGGCGCCCAGCGACGTAAACGTCACACGCAGTGACGTCACTTCCAAGCCTCTGGACTTTCAGCAAATGGACCCACAGTTCTTCCTGTCTAACTTAGAAAAGCAAATAATAAAGGAACAAAAACTAAACAACTATTAACCTACAAATAAACTCATGTTTATAACTCAACCCCAAAGATTTAAAGTGCACGAAAATTACATTTAACTATTATTCAAAGTAATAAAAAATAACATATTAAATAATACAGTTTACTATTAAATACTAACAATAATCCCTACAACGTTTAATTTTGTAATAAATAAAATATTTTTTTTTTATCAGTTCATTTGAGAATTCTCCAAATGTCAGCTGGATTTGTCAACTGATGTGTATCTCTGTCTACGCTGTTGAATTTTCAAATGTTATTTTGTTCATTTCTGTCTTAAACTGTGAACAATTTCTCCTATTTACTTCAGTAAAGTTAACAATTACACTTTTCTCTGTTTGCTTGTCCAGATTCCCTGAAGTGTAACGTTTATAACCAGGAGAGGAGATTCACTCTGGACCAGGATGAGTTTGAACCTCTGCAGGTGAAACAAGAACAGGAAGAGCCAGAAGATCATCAGATAAAAGAAGAACAGAAGGATCTAGAACACCTGCAGATAAAAGTGGAAGAGAAAGAAGTTTACTGCAGTCAGGGTGAAGAGCTGATTGAATTAAAACAGGAGACTGATACCTGCATGGTGGTTCCTGTTGATAAGCAAACATACCAAACTGAATCAGAACCAAACAGGAACCAAGACATCTTAAAAAAGCCTGATGAAACTGACAACAAAAATCAGGAAAGAAGAAATTTTTTTTGTGTGACCTGTGGAAAAAGTTTCGGTCGAAAACAGCATTTAACTAAGCACATGATGATTCACACTGGTGAAAAGCCGTTTTCATGTGTGAACTGTGAAAAAAGTTTTCGTCAAAAACAGCATTTAACTCAGCACATGATGATTCACACTGGTGAAAAGCTGTTTTCATGTGTGAACTGTGGAATATGTCTTAGTCAAAAACGGGCATTAACTCAGCACATGATGATTCACACTGGTGAAAAGCCTTTTTCATGTGTGAACTGTGGAAAATGTTTTAGTCAAAAACATTATTTAACTCAGCACATGATCATTCACACTGGTGAAAAGCTGTTTTCATGTGTGAACTGTGGAAAAAGTTTTAGACATAAACTTTGTTTAACTCGGCACATGAGGATTCACACTGGTGAAAAGCCGTTTTCATGTGTGAACTGTGGAAAAAGTTTTAGACATAAACTTTCTTTAACTCGGCACATGAGGATTCACACTGATGAAAAACCTTTTTCATGTGTGACTTGTGGAAAAAGTTTTAGTCAAAAACAGGATTTAACTCGGCACATGATGATTCACACTGGTGAAAAGCCATTTTCATGTGTGACCTGTGGAAAAAGTTTTAGTCAAAAACAGCATTTAACTGAGCACATGATGATTCACACTGGTGAAAAGTCTTTTTCATGTGTGAACTGTGGAAAAAGTTTTAGACATAAACTTTGTTTAACTCGGCACATGATGATTCACACGGGTGAAAAGCCATTTTCATGTGTGAACTGTGGAAAAAGTTTTGGTCAAAAACAGCATTTAACTCAGCACATGATGATTCACACTGGTGAAAAGCCGTTTTCATGTGTGACCTGTGGAAAAAGTTTTAGACATAAACTTTGTTTAACTCAGCACGTGAGGATTCACACTGGTGAAAAGCTGTAGAAGTATTTTCCATACTTGTTCTATGTTGAGGTTCACTATAGGATTAATTTAGTTAACTACTAGAATTAAAGGCTGGAGGGTTCTCATGTCTATAAAGTTGAAAATTGTTGTATTTGTTAAATGTGATCATATGGACGTTGTGCAACCATCCAAAAGCAATAATGATCAACTTTATGTTATTGTATTAACATGTTGTTTATATCAGACTGTATGTTGTGTTTGTGCAATGTGAAGAGCAGAGGGCTCAGCTCAGAGCCCTGAGGAGAGCCAGTACTGATGCTGATAGATGAAGAGACATTGTGGTCCATTGTGACTAATTTCATGCATTAACAGAGTTTGACTGGACATGGACTCCCTTCCAGAACATTCTCACAGGATTGGACTTGAGGGATTGATTTGTATTATTCTATTCTGTATAGAGAAAGTGTGAGGGATGGATGTTGTTTACCTTAATACACTTATCAAAAATACAATGTGCTGTTATGCACTGACTTTACATTTTCACTGATGTACAATGAAAAACACATTTTAAAACTTTGTAAAATCATACATTTATTTTTCTTGATTTTATAAAGTACAGTTGATTATTATTGTCTTCAATTATTTAGTGTTTCTTTTGTCTTAGTTGTATTTTTCTCTTTTCTGCTGCAGCTTTGTCTATTACTAGAAAAAGATTTTAGGTTCTGCAAAGAGAACTGGCACTTTATGAGAAATCTGTAGATGTGATGATCGTAGGATCCACAAGGTGGCGGTAATGCGATGACATGAATGAACGACAGTCATAAAACTCCAAAGAAGAAGAAGCAGAACATAATGGCGCCAGGTCTGTTTTGTTGAATGTTTGAGTGTTTCTCTAATAAATATCTCCAGTCCAGCTTAAACGAGTGAATCAGCGAGCAGTGAACTGCAGAAACATTGACAGAGTTTAAAGAAATCATCGTCCAGTCGGAGGAAGAGATGGAGGATCAGCGCAGACTGCTTGATTTCTCCCGGAAACAGCAGCGTTTGGATGCAGGTTAAGGTCTAAATCAAATCAAATTTTATTTGTATAGCACGTTTCAGCAGCAAGGTATTTCAAAGTGCTTTACATCATAAACACAAGAACACAAAGTCATGCAACATATAATAAACAAACATCATTGTTACATACAATGTTCCCTCTAATTGTTCATGTGTCTTGGCGTACACACAAGCTTCCTGGGCACACTGATGACCACTGTGAGCATCATCAGTGTACACGGCGTGGCCACGCACAAGTATCATAAATCTGGGATCATAGAAAGTTGCATGGCTTATTTTAAAAAATCAAATTACATCAGCAATTTTCATTCGTTTGCTTTTAATTTAAGTGATTTGCTCAATTAAAATAAAAAAAGAAAACATTGCTGTCCATGAGATGCATGCTGTAAGTAAGAGTTACAGTTTTTTCACGTCTGCCCTTCTCGCTTCTCACTTCTTCTCACTTCTCCAGTGGTTGTTCATTTAGCCCAGGTTGATGGTCAGTCTGCTTCTTGCTTTATCTACTTGAATTCAGCATATTGACTGTTAATGGCCTCCATAATCTGTGGGTGGAGGAGAATGGCCTCATACTTCTTTGCCAGTGTACGAATGTTGCTTATCCATAGTCAAAAATCTGAACTCAACATTTCAATATCAAAAGCAGAACATTCCTTTCATTTGATTTGATTCCATTTGATCTTAGAAGAAGTGCATTTCTTTCTTTTTTTACTTTGGCTTGGTGAGTGGATGTCCCACGTAGACATGATAAGGTGATGGATTTCACGTTTCTTAAGTCTACCGCTCTATTCTCAACTGCACGGCGCATATGACCAAGGCACGTAACCCACGTACACACAGCCAATCAGCATGCGCTGATTGGCTGCGTAGCGAAAGTGAACCGTATCGTATCATTGGCTGGATTCCTGTCACTCACTGAGTTCGATCGCAAAGTAGTACGGAAAAAAAAATTATTGGTCCATAGTCAAAACTGATGTCTGAGCTCAATGTCCACTTTACGTTGGACTTTATTTTATGCGCTACATAGATTTCTTGTGCGCTGAGAATATGTGAGCAGTGCGCGATTGCGCAGGCGCGCAGCTTAGAGGGAACATTGTTACATATTACATTTCAAATCCAATTCTAAACAGGTGTGTTTTTAGTTGAAATTTCAAGGAAGTCAGGGTTTTCGCTGTTTTACAGTTTTCTGGAAGTTTGTTCCAAATTTTTGGTGCATAGATGCTGAAAGCTGCTTCTCTTCTCTTGGTTATGGTTCTGGGGATGCAGAGCAGACCAGAACCAGAAAACCTGAGAGGTCTGGAAGGTTGATACAACAACAGCAGATCTTTGATGTATTGTGGTGCTAAACCGTTCAGTGATTTGTAAACTAACAACAGTATTTTAAAATCTATTCTTTGAGCTACAGGGAGTCAGTGGAGGGACTTTTAAACTGGTGTTATGTGATCTATCTTCCTGGTTCTAGTGAGAACGCGAGCAGCAGCATTCTGGATCAGTTGCAGCTGTTTGATTGATTTGTTGGACAGGCCTGTGAAGACGCTGTTACAATAATCAATGTGACTAAAGATAAATGCATGGATGAGTTTCTCTAGACTGGCTGAGACATTAGTCCTCTAATCCTGGAGATGTTCTTCGGGTGATAGAAGGCCGACTTTGTAATTGTCTTTATGTGGCTCGCAAGGTTCAAGTCCGAGTAGTTTCGATCAGGCCTGAAACTCTGAGGTTTCGGGCCTGATCGCTAGTTTTTAGTTGTAATAACTGAAGCTGTGCATTGACTCTAGATCGTTCCTCTTTAGGTCCAAAAATAATGACTTCAGTTTTGTTTTTGTTCAGCTGGAGAAAGTTTAGGCACATCCATACATTTATCTGTTCTAAGCATTTATTCAGTGATTGGATGGGGTCAAAGGTCACCTGGTGACATCATAATGTAGAGCTGAGTGTCATCCGCATAGTTATGGTAGCTAATATTATTTCCTGTTATAACCTGAGCTAGTGGGAGGATATAAATATTGAATAAGAGGGGTCCTAGGATTGAACCTTGGGGTACCCCACATGTAACCTTTGACCTCTTTGATGAGAAGTTTTCAATTGAAACAACAAAATCCGTGTTCTTTATGTAAGATTCAAACCAGTCGAGCACCGAACCGGAGAGTCCGACCCAACTCTCCAGTCGATTCAGTAATATGTCATGGTCGACAGTGTCAAAAGCTGCACTGAGGTCCAATAGAACCAGCACTGTGGTTCTCCCACAGTCCGTATTTATACGGATATCATTGAATACTTTACGAGGACAGTCTCAGTGCTGCAGTGAGCACAAAAACCAGACTGGAAAGAGTCAAAGCAGTTGGTCATCATGAGGAAAATACACTGCTCAAAAAAATAAAGGAAAAACTCAAATAACACATCCTAGATCTGAATCAATGAAATAAATATAAAAATAATTTCCACCAGTTTTCTATTCCATTTGCACAACAGTAGGTGATATTGATTGTCAATCAGTGTTGCTTTCTAATTGGACAGTTTGATTTCACAGAAGTTTGATTTACTTGGGAGTTATATTATGTTTGTTTGAGTGTTCCCTTTATTTTTTTAGCAGTATATTAATTGTTTACACACATTTTTTTCAATAACTTTGCTGATGGGAGGTCAGAGGTCGGCCTGTAATTCTGCAATAGTGATTTGTCCAGATTGTTCTTTTTTAGCAGTGGTTCTGCTGTTTTCAAAGCCTGGGAGAAAACGCCTGATTTGAGTGATGAGTTTATGATTTGGATCAGATCAGTAGCAATAACAGGCAGGACTTTCTTAAAGAAATGTGTGGGTAGGACATCCAGACAGCAGGAGTTTGAACTTAATTGACTTATAATTAAGTCAGAAGAAAACGTCACACGCAGTGACGTCACTTCCAAGCCTCTATACTTTCAGCAAATGGACCCACAGTTCTTCCTGTCTAACTTAGAAAAGCAAGTAATAAAGGAACAAAACTAAACAACTATTAACCTACAAATAAACTCATGTTTATAACTCAACCCCAAAGATTTAAAGTGCACGAAAATTACATTTAACTATTATTCAAAGTAATAAAAAAAATAATATATTGAAATAATACAGTTTACTATTAAATATTAAGAATAATCCCTATAATGTTTAATTTGTAATAAATAAAATTATTCTTTGAAAATTCTCCAAATGTCAGCTGGTTTGTCGACTGATGTGTATCTCTGTCTACGCTGTTGAATTTTCAAATGTTATTTTTTTCATTTCTGTCTTAAACTGTGAACAATTTCTCCTATTTACTTCAGTAAAGTTAACAATTACACTTTTCTCTGTTTGCTTGTCCAGATTCCCTGAAGTGTAACGTTTATAACCAGGAGAGGAGATCCACTCTGGACCAAGAGGAGTTAGAACCTCTGCAGGTGAACAAGAACAGGAAGAGCCAGAAAATCATCAGATAAAAGGAGAACCAAAGGATCTAGAACACCTGCAGATAAAAGAGGAAGAGAAAGAAGTTTACTGCAGTCAGGGTGAAGAGCTGATTGAATTAAAAAAGGAGACTGATACCTGCATGGTGGTTCCTGTTGATGAGCAAACATACCAAACTGAATCAGAACCAAACAGGAACCAAGACATGTTAGAAAAGCCTGATGAAACTGAGAACAAAAATCAGGAAAGAAGAAAATTTTTATGTGTGACCTGTGGAAAAAGTTTTAGTTATAAACAGCTTTTAACTCAACACATGAGGATTCACACTGGAAAAGCTGTAGAAGTATTTTACATACTTGTTCTATGTTGAGGTTCACTTTAGAATTGATTTAGTTAAAAACTAGAATTAAAGGCTGGAGGGGTTTCATGTCTGTAAAGCTGAAAATTGTTGTATTTGTTAAATGTGATCATATGGACGTTGTGCAACCATCAAAAAACAATAATGATAAACTTTGTTATTGTATTAACATGTTTATATCAGACTGTATGTTGTGTTTGTGCAATGTGAAGAGCAGAGGGCTCAGCTCAGAGCCCTGAGGAGAGCCAGTACTGATGCTGATAGATGAAGAGACATTGTGGACCATTGTGACTAATTTCATGCATTAACAGAGTTTGACTGGACATGGACTCCCTTCCAGAACATTCTCACAGGATTGGACTTGAGGGATTGATTTGTATTATTCTGTGCAATAGAGTTTGTGGGCTTCTATTTTTTTAATTAATAAAATCGACAATAGAATGTATGTAATGGTTGAGTGTTTTCAAAAAATCTGCAAAGAAGTATTCGTGATAGTTTTGTGTGTATCGTAAAATGAGATTGAAACTGATTTAATTTCGTTCCAATTATATTAATCAGTTTTACTTTACCTAATTAAAATCTATTTAGATAAAAAATGCATTTGCATTTTACATAAAATTCAAGATTCATTACAAACTAATTTTCATGCATCGATTGCTCATTGTACATGTGATAAATTTCTATTATTTGCTCTTTTCTGCTGCAGCTGTTGGATTACTTTCTTTTTATGTTGAAACTATTTTATTGGTATTCATTTATGTATTTTAGAAATAAGTAAAAGTGTAACATTTAATTTAAGATTAAAAGTTTTGAGTTTTCCTTTAGGGTACGTTTTGCCTTCTCCATTAACACAGAAAATGGTGGTGTGTGAAAATTGTTTCATTATTTCTTTTAACAATTTTATTAAATTATTTTACTCATTTAACATTAATATTGTTCAGTATGATAAAATATGTAAGCCAAGAACTAGTGAGATAGGTTTCGTTTTGACCTCTCTGCAGCAGTTGTAACAGACTGATGAGTGGATAAATGTCTCACCACAAGTACCAAAGCAAGGCGCCAGAGTTTAACAGATAACAGATCGTTTAGGTAAAAACAGTAAGATGGAATAAGACCTGAGGTCTAACAAATTTCTCCATTGAATGTTAGAAACTGAGAGTACGTACAAGGTCTGACAATGTTTTTGGTGTGCAAAATTGTTCCATTATCATCTTGATTTTGGAAACTCCCATATTTTGAACAAGAGGATGTTTATCATCTAAATAATTAACCGACCTTCAGTAAGGAAGAGGTGTCATCCTGTCCACCCTGTGGCTACGCCAATGTGTATAAAACCTGGTCAACTGGATCTGGGCCAGGGAGTGACCACATTGTGTAGAGAGTCCTATATTGTAAGAGCTTGCAGCTCCAAGTCAGAACTCATTGCAGGTTCAGATGCTGTGCTGTGGTTGCTGTGTGTTCTCTGTTTGCAAACGACAGAAATAAAGAATTTTGCGATTTTCCAGAGTCTCAAGCCTGATCTGTTCCACACAGATTAGATTTTTCTTTCCACTGCAGCATTACAACTGTACTGGGTGTAGCCACTGTGGTTCCTGTAACTGATGGATTGCCAGTTCAAAGTCCCCACATCCATCTCAGTTGTTGAGTCCTTGAGCAAGGCACCAAACCTGCCTTACCTGCTGTTAGTCAGAAGTCAGATGGCAGCGATTGTGCAGCAGCTTCTCTCAATCTTCCCTCGAGTAGCTGTGGCTACAATGTAGCTTTAACATGTAAAGCACTTTGGCATCCTCTGCTCTAGATAAATCACTATACATACATTTACCACTTGTTTTTTTTTCTTTTTCTGTTTTTTATTAAACTGGTCCTGTTTGGCAGTGTGGCATTCAGCATGTAGAGTACCAAGGTTAAGCCCTAAATACCTTCATAAGTGAACTTTTACATTTGCACAGATTCCAAAGCAGTAATAGAAAATATTCAGGGAGAAAGAAATAAAGGAAAGATCTAGTACTTGAAATTCAACATAGCTTATTTAGATTATATAGAGGTGGCATTGATATTTGGTTCTGTTGGGTGTCAGCACATGAAGGTGTAAAAGGCAATGAAAAGGCAGATAAATTAGCAAAAAGGGCTTTAGATCAGGCAATAAGAATTAAAATACCTATTTGGAAAGGGGAAGGAAAATCAATTATTAAGAATAAGACATTGATATATGGTTAAAAAAAAGGTGGAATGAAGATAAAAAAGGAAGGAAATTATATAAAATAAAGAAGTCAATATTTAGTAGAAATATTAAAGTGAGAAATAGAAAGGAAGAAATAATAATGATTAGATTAAGAGTAGGGCATACATATTTAAATGATACTTTATATCAATAGGGTAGAAAAATAATGATATGTGTGAAGAATGTGGAGAGAAAGAAAATGTAGAACATGTATTGATGAACTGTAAAACATGAAAGTGAAAGTGAGAAATTGAGAAGAATAGTTGGAAGGTCAGATCAAGAATAGAGTTTGAAAGAAATACTGGGAAATGATTGGAATAAAATGGATATTTGCATATTAAGGAAAGCATTATTTATTTATCTACAAAATTAAAAAATAGAATCTGACTGATGTAAAATACCTTTGATACACACTCGTGTACAGTAGGTGGCGGTATGCACCTTAAAGTTTCTTGCGATCCCCCAAAATAGAAAAGAAGAAGAAGAAACAGAAGATGGCGCCTGGTCTGTTTCGTTGATTGTTCGAGAGTTTTAGTGAATACAAGTTTGAAGAAACATTGACAGAGTTTAAAGAAATCATCGTCCAGTCGGAGGAAGAGATGGATGATCAGCGCAGACTGCTTGATTTCTCCCGGACTCCCCAGATCATCTTACACCGAATAGGTAGGAAACAGCAGCGTTTGGATGCAGGTTAAGGTCTAAATGTCTGCACCTTTCTGCATGAGGATCATTTTAGTAAACGCTCTTTTCCCGGATAAATGTTTTGTTAGCAGGTAAATGAACGCAGACATCACAATGAGAATGGCTGATTTATGGAGAGAAAATGGAGTTTCTCACAATCTGAGCTTTGTGCTGCGTCAGTGTTTCGTTGTGTAGTGGAAGTAGTGTCAGTAGTCAGTTAAAACGTTGTAGCTCTGGAAGAAGGGACTTTGTAACGGCAGCCCCAAAACAAATACACACATCATGTGCAAATAAAGTTGCCGAAAGTGACGAAGAGTCTGTTTCGTGAGTGCAACACTATTTGTGTGTTTGGTTTCCATCCATCCGTTTTCTAACTCGCTTATCGCGAGAGTTGCTGATGCATCTTGTTGAACTTGGAGGAATAAAATTTACTTGGCTCGTTAATTTTCCTCTAGTCTCCCAGATCCAGGAACTCCGCATGCACAGTGGAAAGCACTGAGAACAACCATTCAACATCAAACTTCAGACATATCTAGAGATTTATTCAGTGAATTCAATGCATATAGAATGTTACATCAGCATTACACTCAGATTATCAAGAAGTCCAAACACATAACAAAACATACAATTACCTGCAACAAGTTGGAAAGGAAAACACAATAGGAGACACAAAAATGCATTCTTGGGAATTGCTCTCACGCTGCAAACAAATAATTTTTTTTTTTTTGCTGCAAAACAGACATTTTATAAGGAGGTGTATTCCCTTAATTTAAAAATATGCATTTGAAGTTGTGTCCTCCCCTTGTAGGACTGTTTAAAGTTAATTTTATTACCTTCTTTGAGACCTGTTCAAACCCAAAAGCAAATATATGGAGAGAACAAAGGTCATTCTCAAACAGGGTCTTCCCGTACCAGTCTCCTCCTTTAAACATTCCAGACCAAAATTTATGCTTCAGCAAGACCTCAGAAACTGATTCCTGTTATAAACACACTGACACAGAAATCTGGTGTCAGCTGATAACTGTGAGTTTGGATCTAAACGTTGCAGGATTATCTTCTTTTAGAAAAAACTCTTTTAGAATACCTGAAATATTTTACTTCTAAAACTTTTAGTTTCCTAATCATGTTCTATTTTAGTAATCTAAGATGCATGCAAATTAATATGGATAAATACTCACTAGTTCAGAACATGCTGTTAATACTTAAAAGAAATATCTTAATACATTTGATCATAGTTCTAGAAGAATTGTTTTCTAAAGGTTTTAGTGTTTTACTGAACTCCTAAACAAACACCAAAGAATTTGACTCATCTTGTGAACAGGCAGACCCCCTCAACATCTGCTTTCTATCCGCTGGTACAACACTCCCTTTCTGAAGGCCCTCTTTAGTGATTTATCTAAGTTCAGAAAGTCAGCAGTTGTTTTAGTTTGAATCTTTATCCAAATCTACCTAACTTAAAATCTACTAAAAATATTCATGCTACATCTAATATTTCATATGCACAAAGGTTAACGTTAACGTCGCTGGGCGCCATCTTGTATGGCCACATACCAAAACAAACCTTTTCTGATGGTTTGTTTCTCAAGGACTCCCCAGATCATCTTACACCGAATAGGTAGGAAACAGCAGCGTTTGGATGCAGGTTAAGGTCTAAATGTCTGCACCTTTCTGCATGAGGATCATTTTAGTAAACGCTCTTTTCCCGGATAAATGTTTTGTTAGCAGGTAAATGAACGCAGACATCACAATGAGAATGGCTGATTTATGGAGAGAAATTTACCTTTTTTTCTGGCTCTTCCTCCTTTAACTACACGAAGCTTAAGTTGGTTTCCTATTTGGGAAATTGCTAAAGGGCGATTCCACCTAATTTTTCACTACCTTCCGCATCTTTAATCGATTCTAATTTGAATGCTACAAAACCTAGAACCTAGACCAGGGCCGTGCAGAGACCACTAAAGGGGCAGGTGCTCAAAAAAAAAAAGGGCACATCTAATCGCATTTTAGGACAGAATATTATCAAAGTCACACAGCTTTCAGAGTTTAACTAACAATGATAAATTACAAAATTGTGAGACATACAATCAAACAACATCGTCTTGGGTTGCTGTACTTGCAGTGGAGATGAAGACGGTCCATTCAGAAAAACAGAGCTGCATCAAACTTTAACGTGGAACTGCAGAAAAAAACAAAAGCATTAATTAATGCATGTCATTATGAGAAAATACTACTCTTAACATAATAAAAGCATAATAGCTGCCTTGTAATATTAAAAATGTGTTCACTACCAAAAACTGCAGGTTGATGATGGTCAGAACCTTTACTTTTTTTGTTCTTACCTGTGGTACTGGTTCTGACCCAGATGGTCAACTATCAATTACCTTTCGCTGCTTCTAGCAGATCCTTTCTTTTTTGTTTCTGATGTTTCTCTTTACCTGTCATCTTTGAACTGAAACAAGCAAAACATAAAGAATTATAATCAGAACACTATAGTAAACCACACTACCAATTCTTTACCCTTGTGTTTAAACCAATATGTTTTTCAGTCCATAATATAACAATATTAATTCCAGAGAAAATGAGACCTCTCCTATGGAGTTCAATTTGTTTCACAATTATTCAATTAAAATATTAACCTCAATTAAATAATATAAAATTGTGATCAAGACATTTTGAATTGTCACATTTTTTCAACAAAAAATGTTTAGCTTAATTTTTTGTTTAAACTGAAATCACAAATTTTTATCTCATGACTTAAAAACATTATTTGCAAAACAAACTTATTTGCGCATGTCCTAAATCTTTGCTTGCTATTCGAAGTTTTGCTTGCGGTTCTCACATGATGTCCTTGGCAGAGCCTGAAATCAAAACCAAAGATTTCTGATGTGTGCAAATAAAAGTTTATGCTTGTCCCTTCATTAATGGCATGCTTTCATTGGACAGAAGCAGTTTGATTATTACATACATTATATCTATCATGCTAGTTCAGGATGAGTTATTTTTAATTCTAAATGAATGTCCTTGTTGGTACTATCCTCCTTCAAGATACATTTACCTAACAGTAGAATAAATACAATGTACATCATTCACCAAAGAAAATTAGAAAATCGGACATATATCCATTATGGAGATGATAGGTTTTATATTACCTATTGCATAAGTAATACTGAAGAATGACCGCCATCATTAACAATACAGGGAACCTTTTTAGTTATCTTGCTTTCATAGCAAAGTCATTAGCTAGCAGCTAGCTCATAGCACAACAACAGCGTAATGTCTGTATGATCAAAGTACTGGATCGATAGATAAGAACAGCTTTTTCTCGCCTGGCTGCCTCCTCCTGCTCAGTAGATATTCAGAGAAAGGCGGACTTAGACAGCGCCCCATATTTTCTTCCGCCTGTCTTGTTATATTTCATTTCTGCTTAAACCGCGACTCCGTGCTGAAGGAGAAACGATATAACATTTAACGTTTTCCGTTATCTGACAAGTAGCAAGCCGACTCCAATTTTTTCCCCCAAAATAATTTTTTAATTCACCAAAAACGTTCGCTACGTTGAGCTCCGCAGTTAGTCGCCTCATCTCACCGCGCGAGAGGCAAGTGCGTCGTGCGTCACGGGCAAAAGGTCAGAGGTAACAATGTGACCGGAGGGCTTATTGTGTTGTTTTTCTTGCAAAGTAATAATAATAATAATAATAATAATAATAATTGTAGTACAAGTGTAAGAAAAAAAAAAAAGACCTAAAGGGCACTTGGGGTCATGGAGCAAAGGTGCTCAAGCCTCCTTAGCCCCCCTCTACACATGCCTGACCAAGACTCTTCAAAGCTGGACCAGATTATTCTGATCTAATAGCAGGATATTTAAAACCATGTTTGTGATTTGTAAAACTTTTTCTGATTTGTGAAATTTCACCTTACCGACCCCTGCAGAACATCTTTCCTTCCAACAGCCATCATCATCTATAATAACTCTTTCAAGAATTAATGAGTGACACCAACATTTTATTTCCCATCCATCCATCTTCTGAGCACCCTTCTCCTTATCGGGGTTGGGAGGTGCTGGTGCCTATCTCCAGCTGCGTTCCGGACGAGAGGCTGGGTACACCCTGGACAGGCCGCCAGTCTGTCGCAGCATTTTATTTCCTGTTTGGATTAATGAAGTGGTTTTGAATTAGAATTGAATTTGAAAAAACCTCATGGAACAAGTATGAACAGTAATCGAAACTTTAGGGAAGTTTTACAAATCCTGTAAATGTTTCACAAATCCCAAACATGGAGTAAAATATTCTGCTATTAGAGTAGAATAATCTAGTCCAAGTTTGAAGTGTGTTGTTGTTGTAGGTTTGGAATTAGAGCAGATCTAATATGAGCTGGATCAAAAAAAAGGATAAAAATCGCATTTTATTGAAGTTTCACAAATCAGATCAAAGTTTCACAAATCACAAATATGGTTTTAAATGTTCTGCTATTTGTTTAAAATAATCTAATCCAGGTCTGAAGACTGTAGGTCACAGGTGTCAAACTCCAGTCCTCAAGGGCCGGTGTCCTGCAGGTTTCATTTCTGTCTTAAACGATGAACAATTTCTTCCATTTACTTCAATCAAGTTAACAATTTCTCTTTTCCTCTGTTTTCTTGTCCAGATTTCCTGCAATGTCACATTTATAACCAGAAGGAGTTAGAACCTCTGCAGGTGAAACAGGAACAGGAAGAGCCAGAAGATCATCAGATAAAAGAAGAGCAGAATGATCTACAACATCATGAGATAAAAGAAGAACAGGAGGATCTAGAACATCATCAGATAAAAGAAGAACAGGAGGATCTAGAACACCTGCACATAAAAGTGGAAGAGAAAGAAGTTTACTGCAGTCAGGGTGAAGAACTGATTGAATTAAAACAGGAGACTGATACCTGCATGGTGGTTCCTGTTGATGAGCAAACATACCAAACTGAATCAGAACCAAATGGGAATCAAGACATCTTAGAAAAGCCTGATGAAACTGAGAACCAATATCAAGAAAGAAAAAAATTATTAAGTGTGACTAGTGGAAAGAGGTTTTATCAAAACCAGAATTTAACTCAGCACATGAGGATTCACACTGGTGAAAAGCCTCATTCATGTGTGACCTGTGGAAAAAGTTTTAGTTGTAATCAGAATTTAACTAAGCACATGAAGATTCACACTGGTGGAAAGCCGTTTTCATGCGTGAACTGTGGACAAAGTTTTCGTCACAAAGTTAGCTTGACTCACCACATGATGAATCACACTGGTGAAAAGCCGTTTTCATGTGGGACCTGTGGAAAAAGTTTTTGTCACAAAATTAGTTTAACTCACCACATGATGAATCACACTGGTGAAAAGCCGTTTTCATGTGTGAACTGTGGAAAAAGTTTTAGTCTAAAACAGGTTTTAACTCGGCACATGAGGATTCACACTGGTGAAAAGCCGTTTTCATGTGTGAACTGTGGTAAAAGTTTTAGTCTAAAACAGGTTTTAACTCGGCACATGATGATTCACACTGGTGAAAAGCCGTTTTCATGTGTGAACTGTGGAAAAAGTTTTAGTCAAAAACAGTCATTAACTCAGCACATGAGGATTCACACTGGTGAAAAGCCTTTTTCATGTGGGAACTGTGGAAAAAGTTTTCGTCACAAATTTAGTTTAACTCACCACATGAGGATTCACACTGGTGAAAAGCTGTAGAAGTATTTTCCATACATGTCCTAAGTTGAGGTTGCTATAGAATTGATTTTGTTAAAAACTAGAATGAAAGACTGAAGGGGTTTCATTTCCATAAAGATAAAAATTGTAGTATTTGTTAATTGTGAACATTTGGATCTTCACCTTTGGATACCTGGAGATGTGCATCCATGACACATTTTCTGTCAGAGATGGGTTTTTTTTTTTTGGCATATTCTGTATCCAAAACTGCATGTTATTGTATTAACATGTTTATGTCAAACTGTATGTTGTGTTTGTGCAACGTGAAGATCAAAAGCTCAGCTCAGAGCCCTGAGGAGAGCCAGTACTGATGCTGATAGATGAAGAGACATTGTGGTCCATTGTGACTAATTTCATGCATTAACAGAGTTTGACTGGACATGGACTCCCTTCCAGAACATTCTCACAAGATTGGACTTGAGGGATTGATTTGTATCATTCTGTACAATAGTGAAAGTTTGTGGGGATTATTTTTGTAATTTTTTGAATCAACAATATGATGTACAGAATGGTTGAATGTTTTTAAAAAATCGTACAAATTATATTAACCAGTTTTACCTTAAAATATTTTCAAATGAAAAACAATGCATTAGTACTTTAAATAAAATGCAAGATCCACCACAAACTTATTTTCATTCATGTGATTATTTCCAATTTGCTTTTTTCTCTAGTTTTAGCTTGAATTATTTGCTGTTTTCTGCTGCAGCTTTTAGATTACTCTCTTTTCATGTTGAAACAATTTTTAGGTGTCCTGCAGTTTTTAGATGTGTCACAGGTACAAAACGCTGGAATGAAATGGCTTTATTACTTCCTTGTGTAGATCTGTTCTCCAGAGCCTTGCAAATGACCTAATTATGCTATTTAGGTGTGGTGCAGCAGAGGCAGACCTAAAAGCTGCAGGATGCCAGCCCTCAAGGACTGGAGTTTGACACCCCTGCTGGTTTGAACTCCCCACATGCATCTCAGTTGTTGAGTCCTTGAACAAGGCACCAAACCTGCCTTGCTTGCTGTTAGTCAGAAGTCCGATGGCGCCGATTGTTTAGTAGCTTCTTTTAATCTGCCCTTGGGCACCTGTGGCTACAATGTAGCTAACGACCATCAACATGTGGTGCACTTTGGCATCCTCTGCACTAGATAAATCGCTATACATACATTTAACATTCACTATTCACTTGAATTTTGTGTTTTTGTTCCCTCTACTGGACGCAGGTCACCGGGACCCCACTCTGGAGCAAGGCCTGGAGGGAGTGTACGATGGCGAGCGCCTGGTGGCCGGGCTCTTACCCATGGAGCCCTGCTGGGCTCAGTCTGAAGAGGAGACATGGGTCCCCCCTCCCATGGGCCGACCACCTGTGAGAGGGGCCAGTGGGGTAGGGTGCAATGTGTGATGGGTGGCAGCTGAGGGAGGTGGGCCGTGGCAGTGCCATCCTCAGTTGCAGAAGCTGGCTCTTGGGACGTGGAATGTTACCTCTTTGGTGGGGAACGAGCTGGAGCTAATGTGTCAGGTTGAGAGGTTCTGGCTAGAAATTGTCTGTCTCACCTCGATGTGTGGTTCCTGTTCTGGAACCAGGCTCCTTGAGAGGGGCTAGACATACTTACACTATGGAGTTGCCCATGATGAGATGTGTCAGGTTGCAATAGTAATTGCAAAAATGCAATACACTTATCAAAACTACAACCTGATGTTATGCACTGATTTCACATTTTCACTGATGTACAATGAAAAATACATTTTAAAACTTTGTAAAATCATACATTTATTTTTCTTGATTTTAGAAAGTTTGGTTGATTATTATTGTCTTCAATAATTTAGTGTTTCTTTTGTCTTAGTTGTATTTTTCTCTTTCTGCTGCAGCTTCTTCTATTACCTGAAAAATAGTTTAGGTTCTGCAAAGAGAACTGGCACTTTATGAGAAATCTGTAGATGTGATGATCGTTGGATCCACAAGGTGGCGGTAATGCGATGACATGAATGAACGACAGTCATAAAACCCCGAAGAAGAAGAAGAAGAAGATGGCGCTAGGTCTGTTTTGTTGAATGTTTCTCTAATAAATATCTCCAGTCCAGCTTAAACCAGTGAATCAGCGAGCAGTGAACTGCAGAAACATTGACAGAGTTTAAAGAAATCATCGTCCAGTCGGAGGAAGAGATGGATGATCAGCGCAGACTGCTTGATTTCTCCCGGACTCCCCAGATCATCTTACACCGAATAGGTAGGAAACAGCAGCGTTTGGATGCAGGTTAAGGTCTAAATGTCTGCACCTTTCTGCATGAGGATCATTTTAGTAAACGCTCTTTTCCCGGATAAATGTTTTGTTAGCAGGTAAATGAACGCAGACATCACAATGAGAATGGCTGATTTATGCACATGTTTTACTTGTTTACTCATTGTAAGGCTTCGTGTTGTTTTCACGTTGCCTATTTTACATATATTGTCCACTTGATGTCACAGTGGAGCATATGAAGCACCGCGGTGCATCGGCTCATGAGTCCATGATGGGATGGAGTTCCTCAGAGCTTCATGAAGCTTCATCTCACCATCACTACTTTTCATTGTTTCGTCTCCTGCTCTGGTCAAAACCCACAAGCCCAACCAGTGCATGCTGGTCCTTTACCAGTCCCCATACTTACAGGAAATGGACCCACAGTTCTTCCTGTCTAACTTAGAAAAGCAAATGACAAAGAAACAAAAAACTAAACGAATATCAACCTATAAATAAACTCTGTAAATAAACCCCCAAAATATAAAGTGAACTAAAATCTAATTTTAAAACACTTAAAAGTAATGAAAATAAATAATTCCTCCAAAATAAAGCGATATCTTGAAATAATAAAATGTACTCATTAATATTAACAGCAATGATTTTATAATGCATAAAAAATATTTTTTTTAAATCTGTTCATTTGAGAATTCTACAAATGTCGGGTGGATTTGTCGACTGAACTGTATCTCTGTCTACACTCTAGAATATTTAGGTGTTTTTTTTCCATTTGTGTCTTAAACTTTGAACAATTTCTCCTATTTAATTCAGTAAAGTTAACAATTACTCTTTTCCTCCGGTTTCTTCTCCAGATTCCTTGCAATGTAACGTTTATAACCAGGAGAGGAGATCCACTCTGGACCAGGAGGAGTTAGAACCTCTGCAGGTGAAACAAGAACAGGAAGAGCCAGAAGTTCATCAGATAAAAGAAGAACAGAAGGATCTAGAACACCTGCAGATAAAAGAGGAAGAGAAAGAAGTTTACTGCAGTCAGGGTGAAAAACTGATTGAATTAAAACAGGAGACTGATATCTGCATGGTGGTTCCTGTTGATGAGCAAACATACCAAACTGAATCAGAACCACATGGGAACCAAGACATCTTCCAGGAGCCTGATGAAACTGAGAACCAAAATCAGAAAAGAAGAAAATCTTTCTCATGTGTCATTTGTAAAAAGCGTTTGACTTTCAAATCTGTGTTTGATGCTCACATGAGAACTCACACGGGTGAAAAGCCATTTCATGTGTGAACTGTGGGAAAAGTTTTAGTCAAAAACAGGATTTAACTCGGCACATGATGATTCACACTGGTGAAAAGCCGTTTTCATGTGTGAACTGTGGACAAAGTTTTCGTCACAAAGTTAGCCTGACTCACCACATGATGAATCACACGGGTGAAAAGCCGTTTTCATGTGGGACCTGTGGAAAAAGCTTTAGTTATAAACAGAATTTAACTCACCATATGATGATACACACTGGTGAAAAGCCGTTTTCATGTGGGACCTGTGGAAAAAGTTTTCGTCACAAAATTAGTTTAACTCACCACATGATGATTCACACTGGTGAAAAGCCGTTTTCATGTGTGAACTGTGGAAAAAGTTTTAGTCTAAAACAGGTTTTAACTCAGCACATGAGGATTCACACTGGTGAAAAGCCGTTTTCATGTGTGAACTGTGGAAAAAGTTTTATTCAAAAGCAGAATTTAACTCATCACATGATGATTCACACTGGTGAAAAGCCGTTTTCATGTGTGAACTGTGGAAAAAGTTTTAGTCATAAACAGAATTTAACTCAGCACCTGATGATTCATTCCGGTGAAAAGCCGTTCTCATGTGTGAACTGTGGAAAAGCTTTTCGTCACAAAGTTAATTTAACTAACCACATGATGATTCACACTGGAGATAAGCCATAGAAGTATTTTCCATAAAATACTTGAGGATACTGTATCCTCAACTACAGTGTATGTTGAGGATACTGTATCCTCAACTACAGTGTATGTTGAGGATACACTGTAGAATAGATCTGGTTAAAAACTAGAATGAAAGACTGGAGGGGGTTGATGCCTATAAAGCTGAAATTTGTTGTATTTGTTAAATGTGATCTTCATGTTTGATTTGTATTATTCTGTACAATAGAGAGTTAACGAGGTTTACTTTTGTAGTTTTTAAATCAAAAATAGAATTGATATCATGGTTAAATGTCTTTAAAAAATAAAAAATTGTCATAATTTTATCTATAAAGTAAAATGAGAATGAAACTGATTTCATTTTTTTCTAATTATTTCAACCAGTTTTTACCTAAGTGAAATGTATTCAAATGAAAAATTTTTTTTTTACTTTCAACAAAATGCAAGATTCACCATAAAGTCATTCTTATGCATTGATTGCACAAAGCACATGTGATTATTTTCAGTTATTTGCTTTTTTCTAGTTTTAGATTGACAAGACAAAGCAACTTTATTTATATAGCACCTTCCAGGCAAAGACAATTCAAAGTGCTTTTACAAGAGAGTTAAAAACATACATTAGCTGTAATTATTTGCTCTTTTCTGCTGCAGCTGTTAGATTATTGTCTCTTTATGTTTATGTGCATTTATATGTATTTTAGTAAGAAATAAAAGTGTAACATTTCATTTAAGATTAAAAGTTTTGAGTTTTCCTGTAGTGTATGTTCTGCCTTATATTGAACCCAGTAGATGGCGGCATTCCACCAGTACTGGGTGTAGTCACTGTGGTTCCTGTAACTGATGGGTTGCCGGTTCAAACTCCCCACATCCGGCTCAGTTGTTGAGTCCTTGAGCGAGGCATCAATCCTGCCTTGCCTGAAGTCCAATAGCACCAATTGTGTAGCAGCTTCTATCAGTCTGTCCTCGGGTAGCTGTGGCTACAATGTAGCTTACCATCATCCACATGTAAAACACATTGGCATCCTCTGCTCTAGATAAATCACTATACATACATTTAACTTGCATTTTGTCCTTTTGTTCTGTTTCATTTAACTGGTCTTGTCTGGAAGTGTGGCATTCAGCTTTGTCGAGTACAGAGGTGAAGCCCTAAAGACTTGCATAGGTGAACCATTACAGCTCCTGTCTGATATTTACATGAAACTTTATTAGAAACAGCTTTGGATTTATTTTATTAAATTGTAATGAGGGAGAAAAAAGCGGGTGAGAAAAGGTGAAAAAAAAAAAAGTTTTATTAGGGGCACCCTCCTCTCACCCAACTTGATATACAGGTGATCACAGAGAGGGGGAGCCAGAGACCTAACCTGACAGGCAAATTCACATGTTCCCATTCTGATGTGAACACCCAGACATTCAGACCCAATCATCCAATGTCAAAATAAACTAAACAACAATGGACTCCATACACCCACTTCCATTCCTCATACAAAGAGCTCCAACAACCAACTAGAAGCAACTGCAAGAATTGAGATGACTGTTTCTGTATTGGAATCTAATCATCACTCAGTTATTTTCATTATTTTCTCTGTTTCCGATTCAAGATAGAAATCCTGAATCAGAGAGAATGTCAGACTACTTCGAAGTTGATGTAAAAATAATGTTAATCCACCACTATGCTCAGCTGCAAACAACAAATCCCAGCTACAGCATAGAGCAGCTAATCCATGTAGCAGCCATGTACCTGACGTAAAAACGTTTAGCTAGACAATGTCAAACATTGAGAAGTTTTAATTATTATTATCAAACACGGCCTTCTGAAGCCAAAATACCTCAGAAAAATACAGAGCCAACCATGAGAATCGACTCATTTAAATTAAAATCACTTTCACACAAACATAAAGAGCCTAGCATAAATGTTTGACCGTTGAACCGTTCAAGCTAATTTTCTATTAGCATCTTTACTAATCTTTTACATTACATTACATTACCAAGGAACATTAAAACAAACGTTTATCTTGGCTATGTTTCTATTCTTCCTCTTTTTTTTTCTCCCTCCCTGAAGCATATGTCCTTTTTTAAGACGTTGTTTTGTTAATTTATCTTCTGACTGGAGCTTTTGACATTTGGATGCAGCTCATGTTACCGGTGAACCATGGGTACCAACTGCGGCCACGAGGGGGCCTCCAAGAGCAATTTAGTTTATTTTTATCCATAAAATAATTATTTCTACAGATGGATTTGATGAATGATTTCTATTTGATGGATATATTATCAAATATATCCATCCATCCATTTTCTGATCACCCTTCTCCCAAACGGGGTCGGGAGGTGCTGGTGCCTACCTCCAGCTGCGTTCCGGACGAGAGGCGGAGTTCACCATGGACAGGTCGCCAGTCTGTCGCAGGGCAACACAGAGAGACAAACAGGACAAACAACCATGGACACACACACTCACTAGGGAGAATTTGGCAAGGCCAATTAACCTGACAGTCATGTTTTTGGACTGTGGGACGAAGCCGGAGAACCCGGAGAGAACCCACGCACGCACGGAGAACATGCAAACTCCGTGCAGAAAGACCCGGGGCAAGGAATCGAATTGCTGCAAGGCAACAGCGCTACCCACTGCGCCACTGTGCAGCCCTTATCAAATATATATTATTGTAAAAACAAATCAATTCATAATGAAATGTTGTGATTTTGATGTGAGATTCTCAAAGAGCAAAGCAATAAGAAGGAGGAACCAGAACATTTAAAATAAAACTGGAGCAAGAGGAACCAGAACATCAACAGTTCAGATAGGAAGAGAATCAACTCTGCATCAGTGAGGATGAAGAGCATCTTATGTTGAAATATGAAAATTGGAGACATTTTGGTGACTCCTTCCAATGAGCAAAGAATCAATAGTGAAACAGAACTAAACAGGAACCAACTCGCCTCATGCTTCTCCTGAAGATGAGAACCAGGATCAAGAAGGAAACCATTCAGGAAACCCAGGAGAAAAGAGAGACAAAGAGCACAAACAAAACAAAAGATATCAGAAAAGCAAACAACAAAAAGGAACTACTGAAGGTCCAAAACAAAAAAGGCAGAACATTTCACCTCAACCAAAATTTATATTCTTGTAAATTTTGTGATGAAGCCTTTTCTCGAAACGACTCGTTGACATGAGGATTTACATGCATGACTTGTAGAAAAAGTTTCCCAATGAAATGTCATTTGCATGTCACGTGAGGATTCACACAAGTGAGAAGCCTGTCACATGCATGAGTTGCAGAAAATGTTTCACCCATAGAGAAAGTTTCTCTATTCACATGAGAGCTCATAGATGAAGTAAATCAATGACAGAGATGTGTGACGCTGGTAAATAAGTTTAAAGAAAATTGTTGGTGTGTGGAAATGTAATTGGTTCTTGAAGTATCGTTTTGAAAATGTGTGTGTGTATTCTCCTACTTTTTTATTTCTTCTTATGATTCATTGGTATATCTGTTTGGTCATTTGTTCCTGACGTAAATATTTGAATCAAATGTTTATTCAGATACAAATGTGTGTCATTGGAACCTATGCAAAACTTGGACTGTATGTGTGTGAATTGTATTTCTATCCCTATTCAGAATATAACAGATATATGAATGGTTCTGATCAACATAGTGTTAAAAGAAAAACAATGCAGTTTGAAGTGCTTTATGTGATTAAAAACACAATAATTGAGAAAACCAGCAGACATTATATTTTGTCATTATTATACATCAAAATGTTGGTTAATACTCCCTTTGTGGTGCGTCAAGCAAGAAACAGTAGTGGGTTTCTTGGGAAGCTGCTCATTTATTGGTGTGATAACAAACAAACACCTTGAACTCCATTGATTCTAATAAAGCTCTTCATGCCGAACAAACATGTGCCCCCTGCTGGTGTGGCGATGCTAGTGCAACAAGCTGAATGCTGCTTCTCCCTGTTTGATTGTGGTTCTTGGGATGCAGAGCAGAACCAGAATACCCGAGTGATCGGAAAGGTTGATACAACAACAGCAGATCTTTAATGTATTGTGGTGTTAAGAGGTTCAGTGATTTATAAACTAAAAGTATTTTAAAATCTATTCTCTGAGCTACAGGGACCCAGTGTAGGGACTTTAGAAAATTGACTACGTTTCCTTTCTACAATAACTTCAACACTCCTTTATATTGATGTGCCGATGTGTTTTTACTGATATTGTCGGTTTCACATTCAAAGGAAATTAGGAAATTCAAAGCGGAACTAAAAGTCGGTTTCGTGTTTCTTCAGTGGAGCCTTCGTGAAACACACAGGAAACGAAAACAAAGCACAGATAGCTGTTAGCTTTTCTTCAGGTAAATTGTAGCTTGAGGACGGGTTTGCTGTATTTGGCAGATATTTGAGTGCTTGCAGTAAACTTTGTCTTCACGTTAGTCCCACAGAGAGTTAATCAGCGAGCAGTGAACTGCAGAAACATTGACAGAGTTTAAAGAAATCATCGTCCAGTCGGAGGAAGAGATGGATGATCAGCGCAGACTGCTTGATTTCTCCCGGACTCCCCAGATCATCTTACACCGAATAGGTAGGAAACAGCAGCGTTTGGATGCAGGTTAAGGTCTAAATGTCTGCACCTTTCTGCATGAGGATCATTTTAGTAAACGCTCTTTTCCCGGATAAATGTTTTGTTAGCAGGTAAATGAACGCAGACATCACAATGAGAACGGCTGATTTATGGAGAGAAAATGACCTTTTTTGTGGTTCTTCCTCCTTTAACTACACGAAGCTGAAGTTGGTTTCCGATTCGGGAAATGGCTAAAGGGCGATTCCACCTAATTTTCACAACCTTCCGCATCTTTAATCGATTCCAATTGAAAACTACAACACCTAGAACTCTTCAAAGCTGGACCAGATTATTCTGATCTAGCAGGATATTTAAAACAATGTTTGTGATTTGTAAATCTTTTTTCTAATTTGTGAAACTTCAACTTACTGACCGCTGCAGAAGATCTTTCCTTCCAACAGCCATCATCATCAACAATAAGTCTTTGAAGAATTAAAGAGTAACACCAACATTTAATTTCCCATTGGGATTAATAAAGTGCTTTTGAATTGGAATTAAATTTGAAAAAAAAACTCATGGAATCCAAACGTTAGTGAACTTTTACAAATCCTGTAAATGTTTCACAAATCCCAAACATGGAGTAAAATATTCTGCTATTAGAGTAGAATAATCTAGTCCAAGTTTGAAGTGTGTTGTTGTTGTAGTTTTGGAATTAGAACAGATCTAATATGAGTTGGATCCAAAAAAAAGGATAAAAATTGCATTTTATAAAAGTTTCACAAATCACAAATATGGTTTTAAATGTTCTGCTATTTGTTTAAAATAATCTAATCCAGGTCTGAAGACTGTAGGTCACAGGTGTCAAACTCCAGTCCTCAAGGGCCGGTGTCCTGCAGGTTTCATTTCTGTCTTAAACGATGAACAATTTCTCCCATTTACTTCAATCAAGTTAACAATTTCTCTTTTCCTCTGTTTTCTTGTCCAGATTTCCTGCAATGTCACATTTATAACCAGAAGGAGTTAGAACCTCTGCAGGTGAAAACAGGAACAGGAAGAGCCAGAAGATCATCAGATAAAAGAAGAGCAGAATGATCTACAACATCATGAGATAAAAGAAGAACAGGAGGATCTAGAACATCATGAGATAAAAGAAGAACAGGAGGATCTACAACACCTGCAGATAAAAGTGGAAGAGAAAGAAGTTTACTGCAGTCAGGGTGAAGAAACAGATTGAATTAAAACAGGAGACTGATACCTGCATGGTGGTTCCTGTTGATGAGCAAACATACCAAACTGAATCAGAACCAAATGGGAACCAAGACATCTTACAGGAGCCTGATGAAACTGAGAACCAATATCAAGAAAGAAAAAAAATATTAAGTGTGACAAGTGGAAAGAGGTTTTATCAAAACCAGAATTTAACTCAGCACATGAGGATTCACACTGGTGAAAAGCCTCATTCATGTGTGACCTGTGGAAAAAGTTTTAGTCAGAAACACGTTTTAACTCGGCACATGATGATTCACACTGGTGAAAAGCCGTTTCTTGTGTGACCTGTGGAAAAAGGTTCAATCGAAAACATAATTTAATTTGTCACATGATAAGTCATACAGGTGAAAAGCCGTTTTCATGTGTGACTTGTGGAAAAGGTTTTACTAGAAAATATGAGTGCACTCAGCACATGATGATTCACACAGGTGAAAAGCCGTTTTCATGTGTGACCTGTGGAAAAAATTTTCGTCACAAAGTTTGCTTAACTCAGCACATAAGGATTCACACTGGTGAAAAGCCATTTTCATGTGTGAACTGTGGAAAAAGTTTTAGTCAAAAACATGTTTTAACTGATCATATGATGATTCACACTGGTGAAAAGCCGTTTTCATGTGTGAACTGTGGAAAAAGTTTTCGTCAAAAATGGGAGTTGACTCAGCACATGAGGATTCACACTGGTGAAAAGCCGTTTTCATGTGTGAACTGTGGAAAAAATTTTCGTCACAAAATTAGTTTAACTCAGCACTTGAGGATTCACACTGGTGAAAAGCCGTTTTCTTGTGTGAACTGTGGAAAACGTTTTTGTCAAAAACAGGAGTTAAGTCAGCACTTGAGGATTCACACTGGTGAAAAGCCATTTTTATGTGTGGACTGTGGGAAAAGTTTTAGTCAGAAAACAAATTTAACTCAGCACATGAGGATTCACACTGGTGAAAAGCCTTTTTCATGTGGGAACTGTGGGAAAAGTTTTCGTCACAAATTTAGTTTAACTCACCACATGAGGATTCACACTGGTGAAAAGCTGTAGAAGTATTTTCCATACATGTCCTAAGTTGAGGTTCACTATAGAATTGATTTTGTTAAAAACTAGAATGAAAGACTGGAGGGGTTTCATGTCTATAAAGATGAAAATTGTAGTATTTGTTAATTGTGAACATTTGGATCTTCACCTTTGGATACCTGGAGATGTGCATCCATGACACATTTTCTGTCAGAGATGTTTTTTTTTTTGGCATATTCTGTATCAAAAACTGCATGTTATTGTATTAACATGTTTATGTCAAACTGTATGTTGTGTTTGTGCAACGTGAAGATCAAAAGCTCAGCTCAGAGCCCTGAGGAGAGCCAGTACTGATGCTGATAGATGAAGAGACATTGTGGTCCATTGTGACTAATTTCATGCATTAACAGAGTTTGACTGGACATGGACTCCCTTCCAGAATATTCTCACAAGATTGGACTTGAGGGATTGATTTGTATCATTCTGTACAATAGTGAAAGTTTGTGGGGATTATTTTTGTAATTTTTAAATCAACAATATGTACAGAATGGTTGAATGTTTTTTAAAAATCTTACAAATTATATTAACCAGTTTTACCTTAATAAAATATTTTCAAATGAAAAACAATGCATTTATACTTTAAATAAAATACAAAATTCACCACAAACTTATTTTCATGCATGTGATTATTTCCTATTAGCTTTTTTCTCTAGTTTTAGCTTGAATTATTTGCTGTTTTCTTGACTTTTATTATTTGCTTTATTATTAGCTGGGGTAAAGTGATTATTGCAGAGGGACTGTTGATTTATCTGACACAGGCTGAGCACAGCAGCTGGTGAAGCACATATAAAGACAAGTTGTCAAGGTTAAAAATATAGATCAATTGCCTACAAATTAAACTATTCCATCCATCCATCCATTCATCCATCCATCCATCCATCCATCCATTCATCCATCCATCCATCCATCCATCCATCCATCCATCCATCCATCCATCCATTCATTCATTCATTCTCTTTACACCCTTAACCCTTGTGGGGTCGGGAGCTGCTGGTGCCTGTCTCCAGCGACATTCCTGGACAGGTGGCCAGTCTGTCGCAGGGCAACACAGACAGACGGGACAAACATTTAGGGAGAATTTTAGAGAAAACAATCAACCTGCCAATCAATTTTTATGACTGGGGGAGGAAGTCGGAGTACCCGGACAGAGCTTTTGAATCCATCAAACTCAATTAGAATTTGACATAAGCTTACATCCTTATTTTTTTATTTTAAAAAAAATATCTAAGTTTCTCTCTAAAACAAAATACATTGTTTCAAATTATATTAACCAGTTTAACATTACCTATGTAAAAGCTTAATGAATAAATAAAAATATACTTTTAATATTCATTATAAACTAATATTCAGACATTGATTTTTCTTGATTTTATAAAGTTTGGTTGATTATTATTGTCTTCAATAATTTAGTGTTTCTTTTGTCTTAGTTGTATTTTTCTCTTTTCTGCTGCAGCTTATTCTGTTACTAGGAAAAGATTTTAGGTTCTGCAAAGAGAACTGGCACTTTATGAGAAATCTGTAGCTGTAATGATCGTAGGATCCACAAGGTGGCGGTAATGCGATGACATGAATGAACGACAGTCATTAAACTCCGAAGAAGAAGAAGACAAAGGACGACACGTGGTCTGTTTTGTTGAATGTTTGAATGTTTCTCTAATAAATATCTCCAGTCCAGCTTAAACCAGTGAATCAGCGAGCAGTGAACTGCAGAAACATTGACAGAGTTTAAAGAAATCATCGTCCAGTCGGAGGAAGAGATGGATGATCAGCGCAGACTGCTTGATTTCTCCCGGACTCCCCAGATCATCTTACACCAAATAGGTAGGAAACAGCAGCGTTTGGATGCAGGTTAAGGTCTAAATGTCTGCACCTTCCTGCATGAGGATCATTTTAGTAAACGCTCTTTTCCCGGATAAATGTTTTGTTAGCAGGTAAATGAACGCAGACATCACAATGAGAATGGCTGATTTATGGAAAGAAAATGACCTTTTTATGGCTCTTCCTCCTTTAACTACTGAGTCTTTCTTTTGAAAACGGGAGAAATGTGAACAATGCAGCGCGAGGTTAGTAAAGAAAGCAGCATAAACTAATAATAGCGGTGTTAGAAGCTGTAAAATGTAATAATTTGTAATAAATAAATTGTCAAACCCAACATCCTATAAAAGTTCAATCAACAACCTGCACTGAGGTGATGCTTCATACGTAGATAAAAGAAGTTCAATGTCCAAAAAACTTTAAGATTCCTTTTATAGTTTATTTCTCCAGTTTAACAAGCAAATAATAAAAATAAACTTTTCATTAGTGATGTGGCGAGTAATTCAGGAGGATTTTAATGAAGCACATAAAACAGAGAACTCACCTAAACCAGAATACAGTTAAAGTTTTTATTTTTAGTAATAAATCGTTACCTCTGGTGAAACAGCGAATAACAAGCCAATCACAACTCTGTTTTCTATTTGTTTCTAGTTTCCTTTTTGATGCAGCCATTGTTTCATACAAACAGATTAATCAGAATCACAAACATCTTTTACTTGTTTATTCATTGTAAGGCTTCGTGTTGTTTTCACGTTGCCTATTTTACATATATTGTCCACTTGATGTCACAGTGGAGCATATGAAGCACCGCGGTGCATCGGCTCATGAGTCCATGATGGGATGGAGTTCCTCAGAGCTTCATGAAGCTTCATCTCACCATCACTACTTTTCATTGTTTCCTCTCCTGCTCTGGTCAAAACCCACAGGCCCAACCAGTGCATGCTGGTCCTATACCAGTCCCTATACTTACAGGAAATGGACCCACAGTTCTTCCTGTCTAACTTAGAAAAGCAAATGACAAAGGAACAAAAACTAAACGCATATCAACCTACAAATAAACTCTGTAAATAAACCCCCAAAATATAAAGTGAACTAAAATCAAATTGTAAGAAAATAAATGATACCTCCAAATTAAGTAATATCTTTAAATAATACAATTTACTCGACTATAATTTTAGAATAAATAAAAAATATTTTTTTAATAGATGTTTATTTGATAATTCTATAATTGTCAACTGTCTTTCTGCGCTCTTGCATTTTTAGTTGTGTGTGTGTTTTTTTTTTATACTTCCGTCTTAAACAATGAATAATTTCTCCTATATACTTCAATAAAGTTAACAATTATTTTCCTCTGTTTTCTTTTCCAGATTCCCTGCAGTGTAACGTTTATAACCAGGAGAGGAGATTCACTCTGGACCAGGATGAGTTTGAACCTCTGCAGGTGAAACAAGAACAGGAAGAGCCAGAAGATCATCAGATAAAAGAAGAACAGAAGGATCTAGAACACCTGCAGATAAAAGAGGAAGAGAAAGAAGTTTACTGCAGTCAGGGTGAAGAGCTGATTGAATTAAAACAGGAGACTGATACCTGCATGGTGGTTCCTGTTGATAAGCAAACATACCAAACTGAATCAGAACCAAATGGGAACCAAGACATGTTAACAAATCCTGATGAAACTGAGAACCAACATCAGGACAGAAGAAAACCTTTGTCAGGTGTCATCTGTAAAAAACAATTGACTGCCAAATATGCTGTCAGTGATCATATCAGAATTCATGAGAGTGAAAAGCCGTTTTCATGTGTGACATGTGGAAAAAGCTTTAGTTATAAAACAGCTTTTAACTCGGCACATGATGATTCACACTGGTGAAAAGCCGTTTCATGTGGAAACTGTGGAAAAAGTTTTCGTCAAAAACAGCATTTAACTCAGCACATGATGATTCACACTGGTGAAAAGCCGTTTTCATGTGGGAACTGTGGAAAAAGTTTCGGTCGAAAAGAGTATTTAACTCAGCACATGATGATTCACACTGGCGAAAAGCCGTTTTCATGTGTGGACTGTGGAAAAAGTTTTAGTCATAAACTGTGTTTAACTCGGCACATGAGGATTCACACTGGTGAAAAGCCGTTTTGTGTGACATGTGGAAAAAGTTTTAGTCATAAACTGTGTTTAACTCGGCACATGAGGATTCACACTGGTGAAAAGCCGTTTTCATGTGAACTGTGGAAAAAGTTTTAGTCAAAAACAGCATTTAACTCAGCACATGAGGATTCACACTGGTGAAAAGCCGTTTTCATGTGTGAACTGTGGAAAAAGTTTTAGTGAAAAACAGAGTTTAACTAAGCACATGAGGATTCACACTGGTGAAAAGCCGTTTTCATGTGTGAACTGTGGAAAAAGTTTTAGTCATAAACTTTGTTTAACTCTGCACATTAGGATTCACTGGTGAAAAGCCGTTTTCATGTGTGAACTGTGGAAAATGTTTTAGTCAAAAACAGGCATTAACTCTGCACATGAGGATTCACACTGGTGATAAGCCGTTTTCATGTGTGAACTGTGGAAAATGTTTTAGTCAAAAACAGGCATTAACTCTGCACATGAGGATTCACACTGGTGATAAGCCGTTTTCATGTGTGAACTGTGGAAAATGTTTTAGTCAAAAACAGGCATTAACTCTGCATGAGGATTCACTGGTGAAAAGCCGTTTTCATGTGGGAACTGTGGAAAAAGTTTTAGTGAAAAACAGAGTTTAACTAAACACATGAGGATTCACACTGGTGAAAAGCCGTTTTCATGTGTGAACTGTGGAAAAAGTTTTAGTGAAAAACAGAGTTTAACTCAGCACATGAGGATTTACACTGGTGAAAAACCATTTTCATGTGTGAACTGTGGAAAAAGTTTTAGTCAGAAAACAAATTTAACTCGGCACATGAGGATTCACACTGGTGAAAAGCCGTTTTCATGTGTGAACTGTGGAAAAAGTTTTAGTCAAAAACAGCATTTAACTCGGCACATGAGGATTCACACTGGTGAAAAGCTGTAGAAGTATTTTCCATACTTGTTCTATGTTGAGGTTCACTATAGGATTAATTTAGTTAACTACTAGAATTAAGGACTGGAGGGGTTTCATGTCTATAAAGCTGAAAATTGTTGTATTTGTTAAATGTGATCATGGACGTTGTGCAACCATCAAACAATAATGATATAACAAGTACGATATAACAATATGTTATTGTACTTATATACTGTTTTATCAGACTGTATGTTGTGTTTGTACAACGTGAAGAGCAGAGGGCTCAGCTCAGAGCCCTGAGGAGAGCCAGTACTGATGCTGATAGATGAAGGACATTGTGGTCCATTGACTAATTTCATGCATTAACAGAGTTTGACTGGACAT